TCGGTGAGATCAAGCGGGGGGGGGATGGAGGAGACGGAGCTCTTCTCTCCCCCCGCGAGTATCGCGGGTCCCCGTCTTGTTAAAATATAAAAGTTTACTATAAACCTAACATGGGAAAAGGTACAGAGGATAGAAAAATAACAAAGAGCTTATATGTCTACATCCTTGCAGCTAAAGGGTAAAACGGGAAGAGCCGGAATGGCGTCTCCTTCTCAGTCAGAACAAAGAACGGGAAGAGAAGCCATAAAATGCTAATATGAACACCTTGGTTTCCAATCAGAGTAGCAAACTAGCTCCAAAGTTCCCGGGCATCCTATTGTCTAAACAGATTGGTTAAAAACAAACATGTGACTTAACAAACATCATCAACCCTGTAAATACTGAAGTGTTTTTAACTTGTAACACCCAACACACTGCAATCCTCAGAAAACCAGCTTTAATAAAAAATGGAAATGCTGGAATGCAACAAGATGACAAGTATTCCCTGGATTTGTAAACACCGAGTGACCAAATTATGTTCCTTCAGATTAAGAGCTTTGTTTTTTGTTTTCATCAGTTCTGTCCCCCATACTGCTTTGGTTTATCCCCTGTTATTCACATACATTTTTGTGCATTTAGTTTTCACTTTTTCCCACCTGCTTTCCCCCCCTCCCAGTTGAGACCCCTTTTACTCTGATCTTTTTTTCTGGAAGCTGATTTTGAGTTGCCTTTTTCATTATGTTTCTGTCATTCTTTGTCCCACCCACCTCTAGTCCACGTTCTAATGATTGGACTGTCCTCATCATCAAACCATTCCCTTTCCTTCCCCTTTTGTCTTTTATTTTTTAAAAATGGCCGTAAAATATTGATATACTATTGTAGTAATAGGTTGTAATGAATTCCCAGCTTTCATTTTTTTTTTAAAAAAGTAGGTCTCTACCCCTTGTGGAGATATGCTTTTTTCCCTTACATCTCCATGAAGTAAGGCTCTAGAAGCTTTTTTAAAAAATGAAATCTGGGAATTCAGAGAACCTGCTTAACCTATCATTACAACCATATATTGATATTTTTGGGGCCTTTTTAAGCAAGGGGTTTTTTGCCAGATGTCACCAATGATTACAACACCCTCCCTTGAAAATCCAGATTATTTAAAACACTTGTGGAAGAAAATAAACTGACTCCACTACTGTGAAAATACAGAGAGAGGGCAGATGTGTGGAAGAGCCCTGCCCAAACTGATTCCAAGGCTTGTAGATTGCCAAGAAAATCAGGAGTAAGTCAAGTGTGTGGAAAAGCCCTAAATGTTGTCAGTGTGGATGCAAAAGACTGTTATGCCATTTTTAACGCCCCCAAAAGTCCACAGATACTATGTGAGAAGGAGGAGGATGAATTAATTTTATACCCCCAGAGCGGCTTACAATCACCTTCCCTTCCTCTCCCCACAACAAGACACCCTGTGAAGTGGGTGAGGCTGAGAGAGTTCTGAGAAAGCTGTGACTGACCCAAGGTCACCCAGCTGGCTTCATGTGGAGGAGGAGTGGGGAATCAAACCTGGTTCTCCAGATTAGAGTCCACCGCTCATAACCAAGGGTGCTGGCATAGGTTGGGTTGCCAAATGGTCTGGAGAAAAACATCCTGTCCCTTTAAGAGAAGCTTAACATGTGAAGCTTTTCAGTGGCATGGAAATAAATATCATCCAGTAAACAACACCCCCATGAAGCCTCTATTAAAGGGACAGCCAGCGGGACTACTTTAAAACTGGCAACCCTAAATGTAGGTGGGGCCTAAAAACATGCACTTTCCCATCCACGTGGCATCCAAAGGCACTTTGACTATGATCTTTCCAAAAAGATCACATCAAACCGGGTTTGGGAAAGGTCATAGCAAAGGAGGGGAGAACACAGAAACCGGATGAATAGAGGGCGGATGCTCCCAAGAACAGCGCTGCAGAAAGGAAGCCCAAGGCAGAGAGCAAAGCATCCCTGTGGAACCAAACTAGGGTTGCCAGGTTCCCCCACCACCACCAGCGAGGGATAGAGGGTTGAGTTGCCAGATCCAGGTTGGGAAACTCCTGGAGATTTGGGGATGGAGCCTGGGGAGGACAGGGACCTCAGTGGGCTACAATGCCACAAAGTCCACTATCCAGAGCATCCATTTTCTCTAGGGGAACTTATCTCTGTGGTCTGGATAGGAATCTCCAGGTCCCACCTGGAGCCTGGCATCCCAAACTGTAAGATTTTTTAAAACTGTAATCCTAGAACAGTTGGGTTGTTAAAACCTGTGTTTGCCGAGATTTGACAATGTTTTCAAAACAGCAGTAAATCAAAATTCACTCATGTACTGCAGAAAGGCTCCTGTACTTACTCACAAGGCTGATCTTATTGTTCCAGCCCAAATTAAGCACTTTGGTGCCCCACTGGTATCAAGGGAAGAATTAAGCACATGCTTCGTCTCTTATTTTAAAACAGGCGGGGTCCAACACGCTTAATTCTGGCTGTTAAGTTCTCTTATAAAAGTCCACATGATCATTCACAACAACTTGGCTTGCTCAGGACCATTTGTAAGTTAGGGTTGCCAGCTCCAGGTTGGGAAATTCCTGGAGATTTTGGGGGGTGGAGCCTGGGGAAGGCAGAGTTTGGGGCAGGGCAGGACCTCAGCAGGTTATAATGCCATAGAGTCCACCTTCCAGAGCTTCTACTTGCTCCATGGGAAATGATCTGGAGATCAGCCGTAATTCTGGCCCCACGTAGAGGTTGTATCAAAACACAGTACTGTAGAAGCATTGTTGACAGAAAGGACAACATGTTAATGGGGTGACTGGATTTGGAAAACTGGTCTAAGGAAAACTGTTAAATTATCTTTTGATTTCACAGCTAGAAGAGTATCAGCTCTCTGAGGAAGCAGGAAGCGAACGCGGCACTGAAGCCATAGCTGCTACTCCCTTAACATGGAACTTTTGTTTTCCTGTGGAACTTACACTTTTTTGAAGCGCCTGCTCTCCTGAAGCATCTTATACAGAAGATCAGTGTACTTTATTTGGAAATTGTCTTTTGTATTAAATACTGTTGGATCCTAACCCTTTAAGAAATTATAAGAGTGTTTGCATTGGAGAAATAGTTGAACTGTTAAAATTATCTTGGATAATATATTCTTTCTACTTCTGTTAGTAAGTTATTCACGGAGTGTTTGTGTTTTGATAACAACCTCCTCCCGTGAGCTCTCTTTTGGATAGAACACCCACATAGAGGTTAGCAACTCTATTGTAAGAACAATCATTCATCTGGAAATTGATAATTGTGTAGTTTAGCTCTAAGGCATGCTCAAGTGTTCAGAAATGCATTTCACCTCTGAGAAATATGGTTCTGTGAGAGGTTTCTTGTAAAAGAAAGCTTTCCCCTTCAATGAACTACAACTCCCAGAGTTCCTTTGGCTGGCTACTATGACAGCAAAAAGAAAGCCTGTATGAATTTGTGTGGGTACAACAATACAACTTATTGTTACGTAGTTACTATAACTGGATTTTTGCAAAGAAATATATAGTATAATGTTGATAAACTTGGGAAGCTTTTTTGGTTGTCATGACCTGAACGGGTTAGGGAAAAAGTTGCAAGTTTGGATAGGTGGAACTTAAGTAAGCACTTCAGTGATTTGTAGCTGGCAGTGACCGGGGGTAGTAGAACATCCCTGTTCTACAGAATTAGATGTTCCCAACTCCATAATCCCACCAGGCCAGAGTCTTGGAAAACTTCATAGAGCTGTATCTTGTATGCAGATTCACAGCTCTCCAGAAAGCATCTCTTTGTTCACAGCACTTTGAGTGTCTCTAATTCCAAGACGTTTGATATGGGTCAAAAGTATTCAGGGGATATACATATACAGTGTGCTTTTAGAAAGTGTTTTTTATAATTTTTGTATACTTTTTGCCACGAGAAAAGCTTTACTGTCACCTGTGCATATTATGCGCCTTTGCAAATGTGTGTACATCTATGCAGCTTAATTTGCATAAATGTACTCTGCTTTTTGCTGACCCCAGGGAGGTTCCACCTATGCCTAGAGGGTTTTTCTGCAAACTTCACAGGACGCTGAACTCTGCACCTAAGAACAAAATTCTGTTTATGCAGTGCAATATTGCATAATTTATTTAGATATTTATATCCTGCTTTTCTCCCCAAAGAGAGCCCAAAAACAGTTTACAGCATCATTATTCTCCCTCCTCCGTTTATCTTCAAAACAACCCCCCTGCGAGGTAGGTTAGGGTGAGATAGCAAGTTTTCATAGCAGAGTGGGGTTTACACGCTGGATCTCCCATTTCCCAGTCTGACATTCCAGTCGCTACACCAGCCTGGGAAAGGGTTCTTGCAGTTCAGAACCTGGAGTTCAAAATCAGGGCAACCCTTGGGGAGACTGTCTGCAGTGCACCATCTCTGGAACACCTTCAGGTCAAAGATGGGCACGGTGGCTCCTTCTGCTTTCCTACACTTGCCTTGCCTACCTGCGGGTATTCTCCTGGTTTCAGGGGACTAATTGGTGGGACGAGGCATAGGGGAGAAAAGGAGGAAGGGAGGGAGTGGGGTTTTCTTACCATCTCCTTGCGCAGCACAGCCAGGGCTGAGTCGAGGTTAGCCGGTTTACTGCGGAGCAGCAGTTTTTCCGACGAGGCCTGGGACTTGCTCAGGTCGTCCTGGATGCGCGTCTTCTTGCTGTACACTTTCTCGATCTCCCGCCAGGAGCCCCCGCTGGAGTTGAGGATCCCGCTGAGCCCCTTGGGCAGCGGCGGGAGCCCCTCGATGGCGCAGACGTTCCCTCCCAGGCTGTCCTGGGAGGTCTGGAGGCAGTTCATGACGGCGGCCCGGCGGCGGAGAGGGCCCAGCAGCCCGAGGCGCTCAAGGCAGCGGAGGAGGACAACGCGGCGGGGGCCTCCGGAGCCGGCCAGTCCCAGCCATATATGGAGCAGCTACGAGGCAGAATCGCCGCGGCTTCTCGGGCCTGCCGCTGGGGCGCCACGCTGGAAGCCCCAGTCCCGGCGCAGGCAGCGCGTCCTTGGTCGATAGGCGGAGGAGGAACTCGCGGGGCTCTTTTCTCCAGGGTTCCACCGCCGGGGCTCCGAACACAGGCCCCGCAGCCGAGACCCGCACTCTTGTCCCGGGCACGGAGCCGCCTTCAGTTCGATCCCCGGGCTACCCTTCCCAGGCCGACGCTCGCTCCGAAGCCATCGGGCTGCTGGGCCGCCGCCTGAGCCCCGCTCTCGCCGTGCTCCCCATCGGCCGTGCGCCCTGCTTGGCGCTTCCTTTCGGAGCCGCCGCCAGAGGTGGATGAAGGGGGGCCAGGCCGGCCAAGACGGTGACGCCGAGCACAGCCGCTCCGAGCCGGGCCACCGGGCGCCCCTCGCCTTTGTTCGCGCTGCTGCAGTCGCGGCGGCCACACCCGCAGCGCCCCTGCTTGCCTTCGCCTCCCCTGAGCGCACAAGGACGCGGCTTAAAGGGGCGACAGCTGCAGCCGACGGGAGGGCCCGGCCTGGACAGCGCGGGAGCCGTCCTCCGTCTGGTCGGCCCCTTCCCAAGTGCCGAGAGGGGGACGTCCCCGGAGCATGTACAGAGTGCTTTGCCCCAGTGTCTCATCATCCAGAGCCATGCTTCATGCAGACTAGCGTCTCTGAGTCTAGAGAGTGACTTTCCTTCGCCCAAAACAGTCAGCCCCCAGAGGGATCCGTTCGAGGAAAGGAGGAATTTGGGCGGCTGCTTGGACTGATTTCGAAGCAGGAGGGACTCACTGCCACCTGGCTTTGGCACAAGTGAAAGTAAAAGAGTGCGCAAAATGCATTACTCTGAGCAAAATGCATTACTGCCAAAAGATTGGCCACTATGGGAAGCCAAAGGGATGAGCGATTTCACACACATACACACACCCCACACACAATTAAGAAAGAGACCAGGGCTGAGATGTTCGGTTCCATTCAACTAGGCAGGCTTTGCATCTACTGGTCACATTATAACAATGGCAGCTGATGAAGCAAGACAGATATCCCAGTTGTGTCTGGGAGGGGAGAGATAATTTCCAATTCCCAGGTGCCCCCATTATAGTGCTAGGAGCCAGGGATATGGGGTGGGGGGGTGGCTTGAAACACATGGTAGTCACATATGGAGAAGTAGCCACCTGGATGGATGGATGGATGTGGGGAGCCAGGAAGAATGAGAGCACAGAAGAGTAACCAAGGCTATCACCCAGGTACCGGTCCAGTGACAATACCTGGAAACGAACTCATGCAGTAAGTTTCTTTTGGTGCAACTCTCCAGATGTTGTGACATTTCAGGCAAAAAAACCAGATGGTAACTCAGTCTATTAGGAGGAGGAGGAGATTGGATTTATACCCGCCCTTCACTCAGAGTGGTTTACAAACTCCTTTCCCTCCCCCTCCCCACAACAGACACCCTGTGAGGTAGGTGGGGCCGAGAGAGCTCTTTCGAGAACTGCTGTTTCAAGAACAGCTCTGACAGAACTATGGTTTGCCCAAGGTCATCCAGCAGCTGTCAAATGGAGGAGTGGGGAATCAAACCCAGTTCTCCCAGATTAGAGTCAACGCACAAACCACTACACCATCTTATTACATTTTAATCCTACCTGCCCTTCAGGGAACTCAAGACAAAGTACATATGGCTCTGCCCTTCTCCAATTTTATCCTTACAACTCCATGAGAAAAGTTAGGATGGGACTTTGGGAGAGGAATTAGTCCAAGATTATCCAGGGGCTGAGTGGGGATTTGAACTCAGGACTTTCCATTCCTAGTCTTAAGACTTTAAGATCTACATCCCAGTGGCTTGTTAAATGTTTCCCATTTTCCTAAGATAAGCAGGCCGGGATGATGCTGTAGGCTTTTTTGCAATGGCCATTTTAGTGACAACTTGTACAGGAAGAGTACAACGAAAACAAGCTGCTCTAGCAGCAGCCAAATTGCTCATCCTCCCCTTCAGACTCCACAGTGAAACTGTGTAAAATCTCCACAGCACCCCTAGGCTGTTTCTACTCCAACTAAATGAAGTGCATTGGGAAAACATGTCTCCAGGGTAGCAAAGACAGCGTTTTATCACCTGCCAGCTGGCCCGCTACCTGTCCTGCTCTGACCTTGCCACTATGATCCATGCAAGGGTCACCTCCATATTACTGTAACGTGCTCTGTGTAGGGCTGCCTTTGAAGATGCTTCGGAAGCTCCAGGCGGTACAGAATGTGGCTGCTAGATCCCTGGTCTGCACATAGAATACCAATTCTTCAGCACCTGCACTGGCCTTTTCTTTTTTGATATTTGTGTTTGTGTGCGCTTGCGAGCCTGGAAATCATGATGACCCCTAGTGGGGCTAGGATGTTTCAGAGAGGTGGCTTTGATATTATTTGCCTCTGTGTCCCAGCCTTGGTATTCCTTGGAGGGCACCCTTCCAAGTACTTGCCAGGGTAGGTCCTTCTTAGCTTCTGAGATCAGGTCTGCCTTGGCTATCCAGGCCAGTACACCTGACTTCTGATCAGCTTCTGGTGCAAATTCAAATTCCTGGTTTTGACCTAAAAAGCCCGAAATGGTCTGCGACCATCTTACCTGTGTGACCGCCTCTCCCAGTATGACCCCCCCTCACCTCCTTCGATCATCGAGGGGCCTTCTACAGGTGCCTGGCCCACAAATTGCCCACCTGTCAACCAGCAGGGCAAGGGCATTTCCAGTGGCTGCCCCCTCTCTCTGGAACCAGCTTCTCAGAGAAGTTTGTGCCCTGGAGAACCATCTAGCATTCCGTAGGGCATGCAAGGCTGCTTTGTCTTGGGTGGCCTTTGGTTAGCGCTATGAACCGGGGAGTGGGCCAGTTGTTTTAATCCTTCAGATTGGCTTGTCAAGTTGATGTTTAATTGGTTTTAGTGTTTTATACCTACTGTATGTATTTATAGTTACTGTATTTTAAATGAGTCCCCTTGTAGGGAGAGGGTGCTGAGTAGAAAATAAATAAACAAATGCCGTTGTTTACATCTCTCCCTCCCTCCAGAATCAACATTTCCTTTCCCCATCCCTGCAGGCACCACTGTTCTCAGGCTTCACCACTGCAGGTAAAGGGCACACACAGGAGCACACCTGTTCACTCATCAGCTCTTACTGAGGACCCTGCAACCCACCACCTGGGGCAAGCTGCTCTCCAACTGTGCCTTTGCCACCTGGCTAAAAGGCTCAAAATCAAAGGGTGCAGCTGTTCCCTTTCTCTAGGGGCCTTAGCTCAAGGCTATCCAGTAGGTATCCTTGAATGCAAAATCGCACAGCCCTCTAGCAGGAGCCCACTCTCCTTGCAGGCTTCAGCCATTTTGACTGACATAAGCCTATTTCACCCCTGCGTGCTTGTGATGCCTGAGTCTCTGCATGGTGAGGTGTGCTGAGGTTCATGGATTTCAACAGGCTTAGGTGCCCCGTGTGTTGGATATAATGAGGGACTACCACTCTCACCCCAGGTCACCTCTCTTTAGCACCATGCGGCCCTTGCTGGAGAGAGAAACCCAGTGCAGTTTTGCTTTCAGACTGCAGATCAGGAAGGTTGCCGGGTGATCAATCTTTGTGCTCTTGTCCTCTAGTGAGCTGGCACAAACTAGCTGATGGGCTGGTCATGATCTTGCCTCATGGTGTTTTGTTTTTTCCAGGTGTGGCGAGGAAGGCTAAAGACAGACAATGTTTGATCACTAAAAGGGAACAAAAATAGTTCAAACTACCCAGTAAATCCTGAAATAGACTCAGAAAAATGAGACCTAGAAAATATTGTAGGACTGGGGACTGGAGAGGGGCTGTGTCTCAGTGGCAGAGCATCTGCTTGCCATGCCAAAGGTTCCAGGTTCAGTCCCTGGCCTCTACAGTAAGGATCAGGTAGACGGTGACGTGACAGCCCTCAGCCTGAGACCCTGGAGAGCCACTGCCATTCTGAGTAGACAGTGGACCGAGCATCCAATTCAGTATAAGGCAGCTTCATGTGTCCGATGGACCTGTTTCCTTACATGTCAGGCTTTAGAGTAACAGCCCTGCCTTTGCACTCCTGCCTCTGCAAGTGTTGCACAATTGTATTTTTTTAAAATATTGGGCTCAAAAAGTTCTAAAGTTATGTATTTTTTATACACAGTTCTGAGTGGTTAGTTGGCCCTTACGTGGTATGGGTCGGCAACAATGAAGCAGCTTTCGAGAAGCCTCATGGCTATAACCCCACCACCACCATATTTATGTCTGCACAAGACAAGCACAGCCCAGCGGCCATGCATTTTGGCCACTAGGTGCCCCCCCCCCCGAAGTTCTCTGAGCTCCTGAGAAGGGAACAACAAACATGGCTGGTGGGGCTACAACAGGCTTGGGGGAGGTCACACGCTGTGGAAGCCTGCACTGTATAGTCCCTGACAGAAAAGGCCAACACACCCACCCTCCCACCGTGGCACGGGCCCCACCCAAAGATATTAGGAAAACCTTTTTAACAGTAAGGGAAGTTCAATGGTGGATTCAGTTGCTCAGGGATGTGGCAGGGTCTCCTTCCTTGGCGGTTTTTACGCAGAGGCTGGGAGATCATTTGTCAGGGTTGTTCTAGGTTACCATGAATTACGCAGGGGTTTGGACTGGACAGTCTCAAGGACTCTTCCAACTTTTTAATCCTATGATTCTAAATCCCCAATGAACTACTGAAAGCTCCAAGACAATCAGAATGAGGCAAAGAGCGTGAGTTTTAATCAGAGTGAGAAAATGCCGTCTTATCTGAACTGCCCAGACTCTAGTTTCTAAAAGGGACGCGCCCCCCCCCCCTCGGTGTTACAGGCGTAGCTTCTGTTCCCTTTGTGCCCTGAGAAGACAGAGCCATCTCACTGCTGCAGTTCCTTGATGCCCTTTAGGGATTCCGCGCAGGAGCGGATGAGGGAGCAAAGCTGTATGCTCATCTCAATGGAGGTGCTCTGCTGGAGCTCCCGGCCCGCCCAGTTGATCTTCTGCAATATGGCTTCCTCTACTGCAGCCAGGATGCTGGTGGGAGGTGACGAGGGAGGCACCGCAACACGCACTGGGAGCACCGGAGCGGGGGCAGATGCTCTGAGTCCTGAGGCTGCCCCTTCACAGTGTTCCGGGCGTGGCACAGGGCGGGGAGTCGGCAGGGAGGAGAAGTACTCTGGCGAACTGACGTCTTCGGGATTGGAGGCCAGCTGGCGTTCGCGCACCTGCGACAGAGCAGCTTGGGCATTCAGGGCTAGAGTGGGAGAGGAAGAGCACAGGCATGATCCTCAAGGTGTTGTTCCCCCAGCCTGGGCTTGTATTACACCCTGTCTCTTGCAAGCACCCCAACAGAAAACAACCAGGCAGTAGTACTGGAGTATCCAGCCACAATTTAACAGCCTTTTGTCAAGTCAAAGTTTTTATGCTTGCAAGGGCATATCCAGTGAACAACGCAACAATGAATACAGGCTCAGTTGCAGTTGACAAAGCAGCAGAGCATGAATACGGGGACAATAGCTGCTTTCTGTAGCAACAATGGCCTTTAAATATGCATCCAAGACCCCAGAAATTGAGTCACAATAGTGAACAAACATCCAATACAGTAGTCCCCTTTCCAGTCCAATAGCAGTGAGGGAAAGAAATCCCACTTTCTGACTGAGAACTCTAGTCCTTCCCAGTCAACTGACTGCAGAAGTAGCCATTACAGTGGAACAGCAACAAGCTCTCTCTGCTCCCCTGGACATACCTGGATTGTCTTTGTCGACATCAGAAGTAAGTTCTTGGCAGGCAACACAATAGAATTTCTTCTGCTTATCTTGCAGCAAAATGGTCTGGAGGGACACAGCAGATTGTTGGGAGTTTGCCGGACACAAGTTAAACAAATTTAACAAGCAATAATAACAGAAAATACACCCTGGACAACAATGTCAAGTGTAGCTAACAACTTGAAAGACAAGATCTTATTGTACACCCAGGCGAACAGGCTGCATGCTGAATAAACAAAAGTTGTCAAAGGATGTCAAGGGCTAAGGAAAAAGGCAAGAGACACTTTCACTTTGAAATGTGTGCATGAAATCCTTTGATACCACCTACCCAGGGTTACCCTGTCATATACATAATCTTCAAGTCTCAGGGAAATGTCAACATTTTGCGCTTACTGGATACCAACTAGTCACTCCTTCTTGTAAAAGAACTCCAATTCTCATTACTTTTGGGACAGCCCTCTTTGAGGAAAAGGGCTGTCCCATACTAAAGTCACAAATGGCATACAGGAACTCTTGAAAATGACCAACATATTCTTTCAAAAGCCAGCCTCCCCTACATTAAGGAACAATGAAGAAAAAGATTTAGTGCAGTGTCTCATTCTTAATGTAAAGGAAGGCGGCACGGTATAGCCCAATCTTGTCAGATCTCAGAGGCTAAGCAGTTTGGAAGGGAGACTGCCAAAGAAGACCACCTCTACTTCTCACTTGCCTTGAAGGCCCCTTGGAAGGTACTTGGAAGGCAGAACATCAAGGAAGATTGCAGAGGAAGGCAATGGCAGACCACCTCTGCTTCCCACTTGCCTTGAAAGCCTCTTGCTGAGGTTGCCATAAGTCGTTTTGCCCACCAGAGAGACTTCTAGGGCTATGTTGCCCATCTTCTCCAGGATTATGCCTTGGAGTCCTTTCTTCCCAGTGCTCCCAGAGAACAGCAGTAGCTACAGATTTATCAGGTGCTTACTACCATTGCTGTGAAGTCCCAAAACACCAAATCAAAACTTTGAATGCACAAAACTGCCTTATACTGAATTAGACCCTTGATCCATCAGGAACAGTACTGTCTACTCAGAATAGCAGCAGCACTCCAGGGTCTCAGGTCAAGGTCTTTCACAACACCTTGGGCAGAGGTTACATCTTCTTAGACAAAGGTCTTTCACATCATCTGCTACCTGATAGCCTTAACTGGAGATGCTCGGGACTGAACCTGGGATCTCCTGCGTAGTGACAGATGCTCTACCTCTAAGCCACAACCCCCCCCCACTTTATCTCCCAACAGTCTCCAGTCCCCACCCCCTCTGTGATACACACCACAAGGTTCCCACAGACCACACAAGGTCCTCTTACTTCCAGGTATCAATGCCTTTGAAGCCAAGGGATGCCCTTCACTGAGGCAAAAGGGACTGATGCCTGGAAGTAAGAGGATCCTGTGAGGTCTGTGGGAAGCTTGTATGTTTCACAATTGCGCCAGAGACACTAGGGAGGAAACTCAAGCCGGAGTAGTTTAGTGGTTGAAGTGACAGGGGAAATCTGGATTCATTCCCCACTCAGCCATGGAGCCAGTCACTTTAGACCAGCCACACCTCTGGCCAACCTACTCCTAATCCTAACTGGAAGAAGAGAGGTTCATGGCTGAGAGCTGTTCAACAATGAAAAACACTACTTGGAGAGCTGACCAACTCTCCTTCCGAGGAAGTCTTTAGGCAGAGGCTGGAGGACCATCTGTCAGGGATGCTGCAGCTGCAGGGTTAGACGAGAGGACTTGGAAGGGACCTTCCAACCATGTAGGCTGGCCTGATCGCCTGGGAGGAAAAGGGATGTAGAGGGATGCCTTTCCACAGGCCCTCAGAAGACCCTCCCGCCCTCCGCACACTCTGCACGTGCCCAGGGACGCCCTGGCCGCCTCACCCCGCAGTCCTCGCAGCACTCGCCCAGCATGCGGTAGCCCTTGAGCAGGTACTCGCTCATAAGCTTGCTGATCTTGTCCTGTCTCTCACGCCGGGCCTGGATCACCTTCAGCTCCGCCTCGGACGGAGGCTCCCAATCCGCGTCGTCGTTGCCTGTGCCGGGACACGGAGAAAGGGGGGGCGGTGGTGAGGGAGAGAAGCGAAGGGCCCCGTTCCCTTCAAACCTCTCCTCCCCGGTCACCCACGGGAATTGGCCGAAGCTCAAGGCCCGCCGCTCGCCAGGCCCAACAGCCGCGGTTGCCATGGTTACGCCTCTTCCCTCACTTACCTGCCCCGTTCAGAGCCATGTTTTCCCCGCCGCCGCAGCTTCCGGCCTTAGCCATGCCTTCTCGCTCGCCTTGGCCGTCTCGTACGCAATCCCCGCACTCAGCCGTCTTGATCTCTATGGTCCTCCACCATAGAGTTGAACTAGACTGGCCATAGACGGGACTTTCTGGTTACTTTTAGTGCCCCGCTTTTGCTTTCTCCGTCGAGAGGAGGATGAGAGTAAAAGCAACCTCCTGAGATCAGAAACTGTGGGGAACTGGATATTAAGTTTGACTGGTCAAATAAAATAAAATAAAATAAAGACTTCTGTGATGCCTGGGGTTACAATTGATCTTCAGACGATCAAGCTCAGTTCCCTAGGGCTGCTCTGGACGGTGGATTCTATGGCATTATAGTATGCTGAGATCTCTCTCCCAAAGCCCACCCTGCACCCCAAAAATCTCCAGGAATTTCCCAACCCAGAACTGGCAACACTGTGTGTGTTAAGTGCTGTCAAGTCGCTTCCGACGACGACTCTGTGATTTAACATTCTTCAAAACGTCCTATGGTTAGCAGCCATTCTCAGGTCTTGCAAACTGAGGGCTTTGAGTCAAACCGTCTCATGTTGGGTCTTCCTCTTTTTCTGCTGCCTTCAACTTTTCCTAGCATGATTGTCTTTCCCAGTGACTCTTGTCTTCTCATAATGTGACCAAAGCACGATAGCCTCAGTTTAGCCATTTTAGGCCCATGCCACACGGCAGGGGAAAAGCCGCGCCAACGTTGAGATGCCGCGGCGGGATCCCACGGATCCCCTGGCTGCGGCGCCTTTTCTCCCCGGCACGATCAAACGCCGGGGAGAAAACACGGCCCGAATGGGAGCCGGCCAAACTGCGCATGTCCAAGCATACGCAGTTCGGCTCCGGGCCGGGGTTGAGCCGGCGCAAGGAAGCGCCGGCGATCAAACGCCCGGCTTGAAGTGCGCCTACAAGTTGAACCACCAAAGTAGGTGGTTCAGTTTGCGGCGGATTTGGGCGGGGAAGGGCCAGTTCGGGCACGGAAGCAGGACGCTTCCCAGATGTTGTGGTGTGATCGCGCTGCTTTGATCCTCCCCCGAACTGTCCCGCAACTGGCCCAAATCCCCTCGTGTGGACGGGACCTTAGATTCTAGAGAGAGCAGGTTTGATTTGTTCTAAGACCCACTTTGTCTTTTTGGCAGCCTATGGTACCCATAAAACTTTCCTGCAACACCCCATTTCTAAGGAATCTGCTTTCTTCATTGTCGGACTTTCACACCCATACACAATGACGAGGAATACTATGGCATTAATTAACTTGACCTTGGCAACCCTAGTGTTACCCCATATCCACAGAAAAGCGTTTGTGCCTTTTCTGCTGCTAAGTTTGAGTGAGAAAAAATGTGTCTTTTCTAAAAGGTTGCTCAACTTTATGTTTTAGTTACCACATAATTTCCAGTGCAATTCATAACAAACCGGAGTCCAGTAGCATCTTTAAGAATAACAACATTTATTTTTAAAGTATTTTTACTTGTCGTAAAAGATCATCTATGATACAGTCCTAGAGAAATGGAAGCCCTAGAGTAATATCACATCCCCACTGAGCTCCATCCCTTCGCTTACCTGAACTTTGCTTTCCCATGATCACCCTCAAATCTCCAGGAATTTCCCAAGCTGGACCTTGCAATCCTAGAGTTGTGAATTATGTGGCAAACATCACATGGCTTGGAGTAGAGGGCAGCTATCACATATCCTGCACTTCCATAGATCAGCTGGTAGACTGCTAGATCATATTTGAATATATTTATTGGCTGCCACCTGGAGCTTTCTGAACCCGAAGGAGAAGGGGGGAGAGCCTGGTTGCCAACTTCCAGATGAGGCCTGGAGATCTCCCAGCATTACAACTGATCTCCATATTACAGAGATCAGTTCCCCTGGAGAAAATGGCTGCTTTGGAGAGTGGACCCTTTGGCATTATACCCTGCTGTGATCCCTCCTCTTAAGAACGTAAGAGAAGCCATGTTGGATCAGGCCAATAGCCCATCCAGTCCAACACTCTGTCACACAGCGGGCAAAACCCAGGTGTCATCAGGAGGTCCACCAGCAGGGCTCTCCTCAAACCCTACTACTATCCCCAGGCTCCACCCCCAGATCTTCAGGTGTTTCTCAAACAGGAGTTAGCAACCCTATGACAGAGCACTCTAAGCCCCGGGGAAAAGAAGCGGAAGAGCAAGGGTGCATTTCTCAGGGAGGCTGCAGCACTGCTGCAGGGTACAGGGAAGCATAAGGTAGGTCTGAAGGGAAAACTAAGGAACAGAGACAGGAGGACTGACAGCCATGTGGTGGAAAAGGCCTCCTCCGGTGGAGTGGACCCCTTGGGGGGGGGGAAGGATCTCCTCAGGAATAAGCTAAGGGAGACGGCCTGGGAATGATAAAAGTCCCCAAATAGAGTAGGTGACTGGTAACAGGCAGTCGCAGGAACCATCAAAGGAAAGTAATGAGTAAGGCCTGGACTCACTAGAACCTCACTGGGACTTAGGAGGCAGCATTCCTGCCCAGGAAAACAGCAGGTAGCATTTCCTGGAATATTGACAGGCCCCTGCAGGAAAAGTACAGCAGCCTGAAGCTGTGGCTAAAGAACTTATGGAAGGACTCACATGCAGAGCCTGAGCTGAAGCAGGCAGAAATGATAACTGGAGACTTGGCCTCCTGGTTGGACCGTGAATCTCATGTTAAATGTAATTGAATAATTAAAGCAGCATTGCTACAATTCCCTAATTTATTTGTTTGTTTATTTAATTTATACCCCACCCTTCCCACGAGCTGGCTCAGGGCGGCTAATTGGGAGTAGCGCCCCTGGCCTCATGGGAGCTTTACAGTGCTTGTGTGGATTTTTTCAGTCCCTGGTAGTTGTCATCCTCACCACTCTGTTTGATGATGTAGAGGACCAGCAGGTTCTCTGCAGTGAGTCATGGCAAAATGCAAAGCAGTCACTTAAATCAAATGAGAGGGAAGGTATTTATGTGTACTATAGGCAGGTTGGCTATTTTGCATGCACTGCAACAAACACAAGTGTGTACTCTCAAGAACATCGCTAGCAGAAGGGTGCTAGTTACCTCCAAAGTTCTCCTGTACACCCTGCTACAAAGGGCAGCCTTTGTCCTGACATGAAACCTTACTTGCATAGAGCCATGTACAAGAGCAGCACTCAGTTGAACACTTACAGCAAAAGTAGCTTGTCTGGCTTCCCAGCTTTCTGTCAACTGGACAAAATGATACAATTCAGGCTGGGTTTTAGGGAAAGGGGACAGAACTAGATAGGAGTTATTTATTGTCTTTCGGACTTTAAGCCTTCAATCACCCAATGAGATGGACAAACAGAAGATTTTAAATAGAAACTGAAGGATATTCATAATCTCCCATTAATAAACCTCTGAAACCCATTGCCACGGGATACTGTATAAAAGGTCACTGGCATATACAGTTTTGGTAAAAGGAAAATCAAATTCAGAAGGATTTTGTATACACCATTAGCAAGCACAGTTGAACATTAAGCTTCCATCTCAGCTTTGCAAATCCAGTTTCTATCTGTTGTAGGAAATGCTACTGCGAAGTCGGGTTTCTGGATGCTAGCTCCTTTCCTACATGAGCGCTTGAGAGCGTAACACGCAACCATTCAAGGGGGACTCGTTTTCCTGGAGCACCTATTAGCAGCCACGGAGTTTCTATGGCAACGGATTTTCAGCTTAGCCGTGGCTTTGAAATGGCGACCGCCGCTTCTTCTAGCAGCACCGGCGAAAGGTAAAGAATGGGTGGCTAGCATGCCTAGGAGAACAAGACTGTGAGGAAATAAATGCGCCCCCCCCCCGGAAGTCTGGGAGAGTCCCGTTTTCCCGAACTCGAGGTTGGATTTCCAGGAGGAGGGAGTTTGTGACTAGAAGAGGAGAGCTGGGGCTCTTGGGTCCGTTAAAGGGAAAGGGATGGCAGTGTCTTTTAGGATTCAGCCCAGCATGTTGACCCTTTCGTTGCTACTCGCCTTTATCCCCGTCCCTACTCCCGCAAGGCTTACACTTTTAAATTCTGTGTTGTCGCCTTTTCGCCATCGGTAGACTTGATATTTGCAAGCGTTATGCGTTCCGTGCACAGTTGCTAGCACGCCGGGAGAAAAAAAAATCTGCTTTTTAATAGAGGCTTCATGTGTACAAATCGGCAGCAGAAGCTTTATATGGCATGAAGGTCAATAATATGATTTGCTAAATAGCATCCCATTAACCTTGTAATAAAGGGTTAGACCGCATTTTCCCCCCTCCAGGTATTTGGCAACCCTAGTTCTATTTTTGCCTGAAGGGAAGTTATGAATGACTGTAAAGTGCCTGTGAAGTGGCCACCCCACCGTAGAAGTAGTAGCAAAGGCAAAATGAAACAGGATTCCAGAGGCACTCCAAAGTCTTTGGAACTTTGCTGCTTCAGAGTAATAAAATTATCCATCTGCATAGTAGCAATGCTCCTGACTCTTCTACATCGAAGAAGTCAGTTCATACTTTATCATGCGCGAGTCTAGCATATTTATGCCAGTGTTCCATTGATCTGTCTTTCCTCCATAATGTCTTGTTTTTCACCTTTAGAAAGAAACATTTTTATGCAGGCAGCCTAGCACTTTTAGGTGTTTCACAAATAATTATTAGCAATAATAATGCCACTCCAAACACACAGTAGATATCCTACATCTCTGTGGAATGTGCATCTCCTCTTCTAATTTTTCATCTTCCCCAAGTACAACAGCATGGTGACAGAAGGCAGTAAAATCCAAGAGCCTTGGGTTCACATGTAAAACTGCCAAGGTGAGAGGAGTGCCACTTTGTATTGGAACTCCTGTGTTCGAAAAGAGAATAGGATGAATGGGTATGGTGTGTGGTCGCTTTGGAGTCAGGATGCCTTGGTTCTTGGAGAGCTAGGTGTGATTGCAGTGGTCAGAGCTTGGATGTTGCATTTACTATTCTAGAAAAGCTGAGAAGGGCTCTTTGGTTGTGATGGGGGAGGTGGGACTTAAGGGCCCTGGGGATTTGCTTCTGGACTGAAGGGTCTTGCACAGTCTCAAAGATATTCTTCTGTGTACTTTTTCTTCAATCTTTTTCACCACCACTGCCACGTCTGTCAGTACTCAAGCCAATTCCAAATGGCTGGATGCCCACTACGACCCGGTAGCCAACCTGTACACGTTTTCCTCCTGTGTCAGTAAGTCTGAACCACCATTCAGTCTCTTTCCTATGTTTTGAAGGGGAGGAGGGGAAGTCAAAACTTCTGGTGATTGCAGCCCAGGTGCCAGTGGCATTTTGAAAATATGTTGGTTTTCTCTGGGCTTGTAACCAGGTTTGCAAGAGGCAAAGATGTGCTTTGTTTTCCACCAAAGTATAAACAATGCAAATTTGGTGGCATCTGCTGGCATGACTAACTAAGAGAGCTGGGTGTGTGTGTGTTCAATTAGTAGCAACCCCTAAAACCATTCATTGCATTTTCACATCCCTCTGGGTAAAAAAATGCTGTGATGGCCTGCAGGGGACTTCCTATTTTCTGCCCTTAGGGATTCCTTTCTGCACTGACATGTCTGCACAAAGAGAATTCTGGGACATAATGAAAATGTATTCAGTTTCAAATCAGTTTTGTCATCAGCATGCATGAAATTAAAGTGCATCCTAGGACATGGTGAAAACTACTCTTGCTTCGTCTTGGTGGGAAAGATCAGCCATGATGAAAGAATTGTCATATTTTCAGGAAAACCGTTAGCATCTAATCTTTGAGAAACCTCTGGTTATCTTCTGGGGTTTCCAAGAACACAGTTAAAAAGCCACTGGCATCGTGGATAGAGTTCTAGACTGGAATGAGGAAACCTGGGCTTGAATCCTTCGTCTTTCACAAAGATCTGTTGGTGAATTTGAACTATCGCACACACTCATCTTATCCTCATGGGGCTGTTCAGAGGATATGCAGTGCTAATTTATATTGCCCTGATATCACTGGAAGAAAGGCAAGGTACAAATATGAATAGAGAGATGAAATTAACATCTGATGGCTACATGCTTGCTACTTAAAACTTCCCCAGCCTCTGTAAACTCTTTTGGGGCAGGAACTAACCTATTTTGCTTATGCTGCAAAGCACCATGCTCATTCATGCAATTTGTTGGCAATGTCTGGTTTATGGCAAACTCCAGTTTGCTCCTCAGAAATGTTTGCCTGTGATTGAATGGTGGGAAATCCAAATCCTGGCTTTTATTACGACTGGGATGGCAAAGATCAGGCAGTTATTAACCCTTCCTTTGATTTCAGTTGTGTAGGGATGAGATGTGGCTGCTCGGTGGTAAGGGAAAACCTCTCTGCACATGTTTAGAGGTGCCTTTCTTTTTATTGTTGCTGCACATGTCTCAGGGCTTAGGCCTGCCACTGGTAATACGTTCATGTGCTTAATCCTGGCAAGGTGGCTGGCTCAAAGCGGCAGGATGACAGCAGCCAGTGGAATACCTTTGCCCAAGGTCTCTAATCCCAGCCGAGGACGTCACAAGAGAAGATCTGCTGTCTTGGCTGCCTTCCAGCTGGGGTGTAGCTGCTTTCCTGGTTCTGATGCCATGTTCCTTAGAATGCCTCTTGGGATCTTTGTTGGCCAAGGGATGGCAAAAGTTAATATTTTTAGCACAGAACTATATTCCCTAGAAGGATTACTCTGGAGTTGGGAACTTCAGAAGTGTTCTCTCCCCAAAAAGAAATATGTTCCCTAATTTGAGCTTAGAATAATATTTTACATTCCTAAACAATAGCATCAGGTTTTGCAGGGACCCAAAGTTGGCTTGCTAGACAGTGCATTAAATCATTCAGTTTACCGAAGTGTTAAGAGACTGGTTGCCGTTCTGTGTCTCTTGCTGAATGGGCTGAAACTGGGTTTTCTATTCCAGGTCTGGCTGACTTGCATGGTGATGGAGAATATAAGGTAAGAGGGCTGATTGGACCCATAAACCATTCTCAGCCTGGTTACCCATACGTTTTCCTTTCCATTGCACCCCCAAGCCTGTGGCCAGTCTGGTACTTCTCTATTCTAACTTCACTTCTCTAATTGGTCTTAATGGCCAGGCCTGTTCATATCATGCACGTATTAACCCATGCATACAATTTCCCCCTGTACTTTTTGAGGTCATGTTCCTAGTCCTCTTTGTTTTATGTGTTTGTTTCTAGATTGACCACGTACTTTATCTTGAGGCTGAACAAAGCTTTATGTGAGAGAGCTGTTTATCTTGAGGCTGAACAAAGCTTTATGTGAGAGAGCTGTGATCAGATCTCTTGGTCTATTTTATCCTTAAAAAGTAGCCCTAGAGGGCCCAGTTTGAATTAGGTATGTGGTATGAGGAGAGGGGATTACCTCAACCATCTTCTGAATAGAAATCTCCCCCCTACTGTTGCTCCTGAGTGCCTGTCCCTTCCCCTTTTAAGGCCCCTAGTGGATGTGAGGTGATCTTATTTATGCAGACAAAACTACATGGAGGTAGAATGATTAACTCTCCTTTTCGTTCCAATTTTAGTATATGTGCTGCCGAAGCAAGCACAACCCTCCTTTTCATACCTCTGATTTGAGTTGTGGGGACTGTAGTTGATTTATGACGTTAAGGAAATCAATTGTGTGTCTGATTACACATCTCTGACATAAAGTATAATTTACAGACTCAAGGCGTTAAGAGATCTTGAATGTACACTCTTTGTGATAATTCAAACAGGTCCTTGCCTCTTTCTTTTTCCCCCTTCACCAGCTTGTGGTGGGTGACCTAGGCACTTCCTGGCATGACATGAAGTTGAAGGTGTACCGAGGCACAGACCTACTGAGCGAGAATGCGCTTCCGGACTTGCCTGCTAGTGTAGTTGCCTTCCTGATGGAGCTGCATGAACCACACACGCCTGCTGTGGCCGTGGCCTCTGGGCCATTTGTCTATGTGTACAAGAATCTCCGTCCCTATTTCAAATTTACACTGCCCACCCTGGAAACCAACCCCTTGGAGAAGGATGTCTGGGAGCAGGCTAAGGAGGTAAGAAGAGGGCAGGGTGGGCTCTGACATGGAGGCCGCCCAGTGGCTAGGAGCTCGGTGGAGCGGGGTCTTTCAGCAAAGACTCTCCCCCACTCTCGTTCTAATGAGGCTTCCGAATGTCATGTGCTGTGTAATATTTGGCCTGGCGGAGCGGGGAGCTCACTCTTCTCTGGACCACCCTGGGCTTCTGGCTTTTGGGGCTATGTAAGTAAGGTTCTGAAATTCCTCTCTTTAGTTTTGCTCATTCGTTGTCCCTGACCCCTGCAGCATTGTGGAAGCTGCTAAATCAGGTGTGTGGGAATGGGAAGAGTTCCTTCTTCCACCTTCTCAAAGCTGCCTTTTATCTGTGTTCTGGCTCCACCCCATTATTCTCCTGGCCAGTCCTTACATCTTGCCTTAATTCTGAGAGTCCTCGGCTCATTTACCTTTTGGAGCTCAAGTCCAGTAGCACCTTAAAGACTAACACAATTTGTGGTGGGGCATGAGCTTTCATGAGTCACTTGAAGTGAGCAGTGACTCAGGAAAGCTCATACCCTACCAGAAATCTTTTGTTAGTCTTTAAGGTGCTACTGGACTCTTACTCTTTTCTGCTGCTGCAGAGAGACTAACACGTCTACCCAGGTTGATCTATCTCTTTTGGAGCTCAGTAACCTTGGATTGTGCTCCCGTGATCACTGGGTTCCCCTTTGGAGCTGCAGAGTTCAGGTCTGGACCCGAAAGTGTGGATTTTTATTTTATGTATTATTAACTGCCTTTCCAGAGATACAATGTAGCTAAGGTGATAAACAATAAAATCAAGAACAAGAAAGGATGAAGGTGTGGTTCTCTGGGCTCCTTCAGTGGATTCTCTTGCATGCCGCTATTGTAAGACTTGCTCCCCATTGGAACTGAATGTTTCTTTTACTTCTGCCCACTGTTCCTTTAGAACCATAGTTTTCAAACTTTCTGCTTTCAGGGTAATCTTCCCACATTGATTTCTCTGTGTTGTCGCAGACTTTCATGGGCACATTTGTTTATTTATTTGTGTTTTTAACATATTTTATTCTGCGTGTTTTATCTACACTTGTAAGCCACCTTGAACTCCATGAAGAAGACAGGTGGCTGATAAATGTTTTAATTAATTGACTGATTAATTGAAAACATTTATTAGCCACCTTTCTACCCCATAGGAACTCAAGGCAGCTTACACTGTAAATAATAATAAAAAAAATCAAAACTGTGAGTTAAAATCAACAATTTAAAACTGCTGGTAGGCAGAAGACCTGATTGTATTCCATCACAAAGAAAACTGTCTTCAGCTGCCAGTTTGGTGTAGTGCTTAAGTGCACGGACTCTAATCTGGGACTCTAATCTGGGAGAACCGGGTTTGATTCCCCACTCCTCCACTTGCACCTGGCTGGATGACCTTGGGCAAGCCATAACTCTGGCACAGCTGTTCTTGAAAAAGAGCAGTTTCTGTCAAGAGTTCTCTCAGCCCCACCTACCTCAAAGGGTGTCTGTTGTGGGGAGGAGAAGGGAAAGGAGTTTGTAAGCCGCTCTGAGGCACCTTTGGGTAGTGAAGGGCGGGGTAGAAATCCAATCTCTCCTCTTTCTCCTCTTCCTCCTCTTCCTTGGTGTAGTGGTTAAGTGTGTGGACTCTAATCTGGGAGAACCGGGTTTGATTCCCCACTCTTCCACTTGCACCTGCTGATGTGACCTTGGGTCAGTCACAAGCTCTGGCACAGATGTTCCTGAAAGAACAGTTTGTGTCAGAGCTCTCTCAGCCCCACCCACCTCACAGGGTGTCTGTTGTAGGGAGGGGAAGGGAAAGGAGTTTGTAAGCCGCTCTGAGACTCCAAGTGAAGGGCGGGGTATAAATCCAATCTCCTCCCAGCCCCACCCACCTCACAGGGTGTCTGTTGTGGGGAGGGGAAGGGAAAGGAGTTTGTAAGCCACTCTGAGACTCCAAGTGAAGGGTGGGGTATAAATCCATTCTCCTCCTCCTCCTTCTTCCTCTTCTTCCTCTTCTAAAGACTGAGAGTGAGGGGGCCAGGTGCACCTCCTTGGGGAAGTTGCTCCATAACCATGGGGTTGCCCCTGAGAAGGCCCTCTCATATACCCACCAGACGATCTTCATCAGTGGGACAGTCAAAAGAGCCTCTCCTTGTGATCTTAGTTCCCAGGCAGGAGCATATGGGAGAAGATGATTCTTCAGATACCCTGGTCCTAAGCCGTGTAGAACTTTAAAGGTGTTTTATGCTAGTGTTTTTTGGTATTGTGATCCTTCTTTATTTAACTACTTCTGGAGTGATTAGACTGCTTTTAAGTAAAAATTTTGAAAGGTAACACTGAGTGATCTTTAGCTGGGATAAAAAAGTTTTCTGTTGACACCTGGAATAAATAAACTTCTGACATATTTTTAGTCAGAGGGCTGATTACTTGTTAGAAATTGATCATTAGAGAGAATAATCATCTCAATACAGCCCTTTGGGTTAGTGCTTAGTGCAATGCTTTGGAACAGTCAAAGAGACTCTTAGCTTCCATGTGCCTATTTTAAAATAAATGTTTTCCTCACCAGTGGGATGACACTCTGTATCAGTGTATTTCTGAGGGTTCTGGGCAGGCCCATACATGCAGGGTCCTCTCATGTCTAGACATCATCCCATACGGACTGAGAGTACAGCTAGCAGATATCTAATGTTCGACAGGGGAAGATTGGCGTTGGCAAGCAGGCCTTTTTTCCCTAAGACCCTTTTCAGCCGTTTCTGACCTTCCCATCAAGTTGCCTCTGTAGTTTTCTGAGGAACTTCAGGGCTCCATGGAACAGCTTATGAAATAATGCTTTAGGAAGCTCAATACAGATAATGCGGCACTCTTAGTGGTCCACGTAGACTTAAAGTGAGCACCACTAGAGCATCATGTGCTCCCAACACACGCTTGCGCAAGACAGCTCGTGACCGAGTCCCAAGGCCAGCCACCCACCTCGGAGTTGACCTGCAACGGTCTCCAGTCCACCTTCAGCCATGAGAGGGGTAGATGCCGAGTGAAGCCTGGGCACCCCATAGGGATGCCAGCCCCCAGGTGGAAACTGGGGGAAACCCCCCCCCCCCCGAATTACAGTTCATCTCCAGTCTGCAAAGATCGGTTCCACTGGAGAAAATGGATGCTTTGGACAATGGGCTGCATGACGTTGTACCCCACTGTCCTCCTCAGGCTCCATCCCCAAATCCGCAGGAGTTTCCCAACCTGGAAATGGCAATATTACCCCCCCCATCCCCCGCTGATGGCCAGGGGGGACCTGGCAACCATTGCACCCCAGGTTTTTCAAAGTTCTCTTTGGTGTGTGCTGGTCCTGCTGTAGGAAGCAGCTGAGTATTCTTGTTCTCTCCTTATAGGACAAGATTGACACTCCGACACTGAAAGAGATGCTGGAGATGATCCGGTGAGAAGCTCAGAATCCCAGTATCCCTGGAGTCTGAAGCTCGGGAGTTGTAGAATAGAAACTTCAGGGCTGTAAGACGCAGATGAGAGATGTGAATAGATATGTGGTCAAGATTCCTTACACATGAAGGTCTTGCTTACATGTTCCTGCCCCCTCCCCATTGCAGCTGATTTAATTTTTAGCGCCCACACAATATCGACATGCTCCTGCCAACCTTACCATTTTCCCTGGCTCTGTTGCTGTTTTTTTCTCCAAGCCTATGATCTTTCCTGGAAATTCATACCCAAAGTGGGGTTGGGCAAGTGTGGAAGGGAAAGTACCGATTTCTGCACCTTACCACCCACCTGTGGCAGCAGATCCAACACCCATTTCCTCATCTGCTTGCTGTTCCCTCCCTGCCCCCACCAGCACTCTTCTAGCCAGTTTTTTTTTTTTAATCACCTCCTTGATTTCAATGAGATAAGGTGGGATAGACATGTTTAAATAAGTAAATGATTACTGGTATAGTGCAATATACCTACTAACGATAAATTAAAGGGGGGGGTCCCAGCAAAAAGCCTACTCATGGCAGGTAAGGGTAAATAGTAAGCATAGAGTAAATCTTTTGTTTAAAAGCACCGCTGCCACTGCAAATGCTTGTGCCTTTCTCAGTGGCAAGGAGAGCAAAACAAGGAATTATCCCTGTGTGGAGATTAACAGTGCCATCCTAAACAGAGCTGCATCCTTCTAATCCCATTGACTTCGGTGGTCTTATAAGGGTGTAACTCTGCCTAGGATTGCAGTGTAAGAGGCCAGTTCACCTGCCTTTCAGAAAGCAGTCAGGTGGGGTAAAGGCTGAAAGTCCAGACTAACGCCACCCACATGGGATCATCCCTCTGAGTTAATTAGAAATGGCCACTGCTCTCTATTTCCATATTTGGACATTGAATACATACTCTTCCTCCCCCAGCCTGTTGGTTTGTTAAGTATGGAGCATGTTACTCCCAAGCACCCTTCTTGTACTTGCGGGCCAGGTAGTGAAAGGGTTAACTCCCCCCCCCCCCCGCTTCCTTTTCAGGGATATGCTTACTGTGTTCAAAGAGATAGTGAAGCTGGAACAAGGACTAATGTCGGGTGTAAGAGTGTGATCTTGGACATGGGATAAAAAGCGTGGGGAGGGTCCCCTTCCAGACTATGAGAAATGGAGAAGCTAATGGGCGACTAATATCTGCTAGATAATCCTGCATGAATACCCCAGTCCAACAGCCAGGGTTCAGACTCACCTTAACCCCAGCATCACAGATAGATCTGTTTGCTCCTTGGCGAAAAACAGGTGTTCCACACATGCTCAGAGGCAGTCTGCATTTCATTCATTTCAAAGCTGGCATTGAACTCTATTCATCTTTTTAACTTTTATCTCAGCTTTCTTCTAAGGAGCTCAAGATGCCTGCTAGATATAGGTCTCCCCTCCTACATTTTAGCTTCACAACAATCCTACAATGTAGTTTAGACTGAAAGAGAGGGTGACTGGCCCAAATTCACGCAGTATGCTTCAGGGCTGCCTCCTGGGAGTCAGGACCTTTAAGGGTCCGAAGGAATAGATCTCGAACTAAGAGAAAACTGGTATGATCGAGGCCTGCCAATAAGTCCATGGCTTAAGCAAAGGCTTGGTCCCGGGGTTCTCAGAGCCAAGATTTTTTATTTTTATTATTTATTTACAAAATTTGGACTCTGCCTTTCTTCCCTCCTCAAGGCCCCAAGGTGGCCAACCAATTAAAAACATACATAAGAAACACCTTAAAAACCATTAAAACTAAACAGAAATATATCATTAAAACAATAAAAACCAAGCTAAAATACACATGCAGAAACAAAAACAGCAATTAAAACATAGAGCAGGAAGGGGGGTCACTGAGGGAATGCTAGATGAAACAAAAACAGTCTTTAATTCCTGGCAGAGGATGGCGATGGTTAGTGAGAGAGAGGCATCAGGCCCACTTTTGTGTTTCTTTTGTGACTTACCTGGTGTCTTATGTCTTCTCTGGCAGAGAAAAAGCTGATATTCCCTTGTCTGTGCGGTCCTTGAGGTGAGTTCTTTGGCACAGAGCCCTGAACCTCCTGCTTTGGACAGGGGGCAATGGACTTGCTTTCAGGCCCTTTCCCCCTTAGAGGGTGGCTCTCTCTGGTAGCAGGGGTCCCACTCTGCCCTGCCTCACCCCTTTCCCCTCTGCTTCTGTAGGTTCCTGGCCCTCGACCCCCCTGAGATGGACTCATTCGTGAACCAGTACAAGATGCAGCCAATCAAGCGCCAGGTAGGGATTTCTCCGGTCAAGTGGGAGTTCCCAGTGCTTTCGATTTCAGGTGCTTCTCTGAAATGCTCCTGGGTGAAGGGAGCCGAAGGAATGCAATAGCACTTGCTTTCTGTAGCACTTGCAGGGTGGCCAAAATGCCTCACTGATGTTACCTAAGCAACCAATACAAAGGGCTAAAGTCTACTGGAACCCACATGGTTGAGGGACCGTCTCTCCCTGTGTATGCACCTGTCCACCAGCTCAGATCAACCCACAGATCTCTTCTGGCCCCCTCCATCTGCCAGCTATGGTTCATTTCAGGGAAGGCTTGCTTCTCTTCCATCATGGCTCCAACAACCTTCCAGGGAAGTAATTTTGGAGAGGCTATAAAACTGTTCTTTTCCAAAGGGAATTTGATTGGCACTGTTTTAGGGTAGTTGCTGAATTTTCTCAGTAGAATTTGGCAATTGGGTTTGTGTATTTATTTATTGGATTTATATCCCGCCCTCCCCTTGATGGGCTCAGGGCAGCTTCCAACAATAAAATACAACACAATACTGTTTATTTGGGTGATGGATTTGCATACTACAACAAAATCCCAAGGCATGGAGGCTTTAAATTTTTAAAGCAATAAAATAAATATTTGTAACAAAGCAGTACAATTTAAAAAAAAACTTGTCCAGACCATCAAAACTATCCTACATTTCAAGCCAGCAGTGTTGTGTGCGTTCGTTTGTTTTTATTGTGAATGGTGTTCTTATGCTAATTCTATCTGGTTTGCTGTAAAGCTGTTTCAAATTGCTCCGGTGAAGTGAAATAGAATTTTTAAAAATGAAATCGGCCAACACTCCTGGAAGGCAATATGATTCGCCCTCTATTGGACACGGGTGACTAATAAGTGGTTTACATAGGGCTGCTAGTTCCTTGTAGAGGTGGGATTAGCTCGTTTAATCTTTTAGCTTCAGTGAGGGCTGCCAGAACATATCTACCTGCTTAAGACATTGCATGCTTGGTTGAACTCATTCTCTCATTTGCTGTTAATTTGGTGTTTTACTAATAATAAAAAGTCCCATTCAGCTGGTAGAAGGGGAGGCACTGAAAACTTTATGCTAGTTTCTCAGCACTCGTCCTCATTCATTTTGGTGCTAAAGGATGTCCTTTACCTCTTTCAGACAGTGATCACTTGCATGTCTACTCTGAAGAAGAACATGGCTGATGAGGATGCCATCAGCTGCCTGGTGCTTGGGACAGAGAGCAATGAAATCCTGGTTTTGGACCCCGAGGCCTTCACCGTCCTGGCAAGGGTGAGGCTGTGGAGAAGAGTTCCTTGAAACTGAGAAGCTTAGATCTACCTCTACCAATCCCAGCTTCATTCAGTGAGACAGAAATTTCAGTTACTGTTTGGGACTAACATGATAGTCACTCACTATAGCAGTCTTTGCAGTTGTGCTGTTCAGCCACCAAATTAGCTATCAGACACCAAATCAAGCATCTAGAAAACGTCTCTTAAAAACAGTTTCTGCCCCCCTTATGGCTGCAGAGATGCCCTTGAAGCCTGTGGGCAGTGTCTGTGAAACAGTGTCTGGTGGGGAAGGTGAGCACAACCCTTTCTTTGTGCCCCGGAGGGAAGGAGGGAGACCCCTCTTACTGACATCTGAAGCCTCAGACAGCCTGATAAACCCAGCTCTCAACCCAGGCACCATGCTGGGGTGCCCAGCCTTACTACTGCCTTCTTTGTTTCCCATGGCAGATGACGCTGCCAAGTGTGCCAGCCTTCTTGGATGTCATGGGCCAGTTTGACGTGGAATACCGCCTGACCGCAGCTTGCCGTAATGGATGCGTTTACATCTTCCGCAGGTGGGTGAAATGTTCCCTCTAAGCTGTGTGGAATCTTGTGAGCAAAAATCCTACGTTGTGAGCTACTGGCATTGAAGTTGTGAGCAAGCGATCTGGCTACTGTATAAATTAGTTTGCTCTGGAGCCCTCCTTCCTGAGCTAAGACAAAAAAATGTGTGAGCCGGAGGCAAAAAAAACTGTGAGCTAGCTCACACTAACTCAGCTTAGAGGGGACACTGCTGGGCAACACCCTGGCCAAAGGGAAGCTGGCAGGGAGGGGGGAATGGGGGGGAAGACACACTACAGAACAAAAACATGGTGGCATGTATATGCTATACCTGGCTCAAGTTTCCTCCGTACATGCCAACGTCGTTTTGTTCTGCGGTTCTTCTTGGCCCCAGGTAGCATTTTGGGAGCGAACTCCCCTCTTCCAGCCCTACCTCCTTCTGTAGTTTAGCATCCCTGTTATTGTGTGGTCCGTATGCATGCATATTTAAATGCATGTTTGTTTGTTTGTTTTTCATATTTATAGCCTGCCCTCCTCACAAGTGGGCTCAGGACGGGTAACAACATCCAGTAGTAGAATAGATAGAGTTAAAATTTAAACACACAGTAATATACATTAAAATGGTGGTCACAGCCCAAGAATGGAATTGGCTGGTTGTGAAGGATTCCTTGGCTCTCCAATAGCACATGACAGTGATAGCCAGCTGCTAGCACATGGGTGACGGCCACCTCAGGGAGGCCATACCGAGAAGCCCGCTGCCTCAGCCAAAAGCCTGGTGGAACAGCTCCATCTTACAGGACCTGTGGAATTGAAGAAGATCCTGCAGGGCCCTGATCTCAAGAGGGGGCATGTTCCACCAGGCAGGGGCCAGTGCGGAAAAAGCCCTGGCCCTGGTCAAGACAAGATGGACGTCTTTCGGGCCAGGGACCACCAGGAGATGTTGATCCATCGAGTGTGAAGCTCTTCGAGGTGTACACAGGAAGAGGCGGTCCCACAGGCATGTTGGTCACAGGCTGTATAAGGCTTTAAAGGTTATTACCAACACCTTGAAGTGAATCCAGAACTCAACCGGTAGCCAGTGCAGTTGGCAGAGCATGAACGTGAGCCCGCACAAGCGTCACCATCAGCAGACGTACCGCCGCATTTTGGACCAGCTGTAATTTCCGGGCCAGCCTCAAGGGTAAGCCTGCGTAGAGCGCATTGTAGTAATCAGGCCTGGAAGTGACCATTGCATGGGTCACTGTAGCTAAGTAACCTAATCTACCTAAGATGGAAAAAGGCAGACCTGGCAACTGCGGCCACCTGGGCCTCCATAAGAGAGGCATCCAGTATTACTCCCAGGCTCCTCAGTTTCTGGGCCGGCACCAAAGGTGCTCCTTCCAGAGTGGGGAGCCTAATACCCATATCCATGCCCCCCCCCCCCCCTCAGGTACAGGACCTCCATCTTCGATGGATTAAGCTTCATCCGGCTCTGACACAACCATCCAGCCGTGGCCTCCAGAGCCACATGTCCTCTGTGAATGAGCCCACCTCCCAAACTGGGCCCTGGAGCTCACACAAACAGCCAAGAAAGAAAACTCTCCTCCAATGCTCCTCCCTCATGTCTTAGGCAGGAGCTGCAGACTTAGGTCTGAACACCCAACTAACAGTCCAGATCCAGATGCAGACCTCCACAGTGTGTTTTAGGGATCTGTAACAAAGTGATGAGGATCCATAGCGAGCTTGAAGATTAAAAAAAGAAGAAGATCTGAGCAGAGTAGAAAAATGGGGATAATTTTATTGAGCAAGATACCAAAATAAACATATGCTGCCATAATATCAGGCACACAAATAGCATCCAGTACCACACAGCCCACACTAAATGTGGAATATCTTAGTGCCCACGTACACTCTGTGCAACATGCAAATTCAAGGGAAGCGTTTGGTGAGGAGGTGGAGAAGAGAGGGAGATGGGTAGCAGGGAAAGTAGATGGTTATCAGTGCGGTCCTAAACACTATTCACACCCGTCTAAACCCCCTGACTTAAATGGCTTTAGAAGGGTGTAATCTCCTTAGGGTTGCACTCAGGGGTCATTTCGTAGAAAAAGAGCTAGGGGAACTCATTAGCATAACTCATTAGCATATGCCCCCCCCCCTGACATCACCGGAAGTGTGCCATAAGGCCACACCCCCTGACATCAGGGGCCCGGCGGTGGACCTGCAAGGCCGGCAGGAGTGCAAGGAAGCCCCGCGAAGGCCCTCCCTGGCCCCAGGCAGGCAGGGGTGGGGAGAGGCAGGGAGGAAGCACCTTACCCTCCCTCTTCTCCTGCCTCCTCCTGGCTGAATGAGGGCCGGAAGCGGGGCGGCCGGAAGCGGGGCGGCCGGAAGCGGGGCGGCCGGAAGCGGGGGGCGGGGCTTCATCATGTGCCCCGCCCCCCGTACCTCACCCGGGGGAACTGCGTTCCCCCGCGTTCCCCCCCCCGAAATGACCTCTGGTTGCACTGTATATTACCTGCCTATTTCTGCATGGGGAAACTGTCTGGGGTGGTGTCTGGATTCCGAGTATCTGATGAGCCAACAGAACTAAGTCTTGGAACTCCAGATTGCCTGCTTTGTGTGGAAGTGGAGGCTTGGCGAGAGCCAGGGGTGGGGTGGGGGCTGAGTAAGACTTTTTAGGAGTAAACAAAACGGAGATCCAGTTGCGAGCGGCCACATGCAGCAGAACTGGGGCAGCAAGAGAGCTAATATCCAGTTACTCGGCACATGCAAGTAGAGGGGAATTGTTGTAACTGGTGGTAGAGCAAGACGATAATAGATGGAGAAAGATTTGATTTTCGCAGGCTTTTTCCGGAGGGGGGGGGGCGGAGATGGTTGATGAAGTCAAAGGTGAGCCTTCCAATTGGTAGGGGACGTGGCGGCCGTATACCTGGGATCTAGGCATTTCTTCAAAGAAAGGAAAGTAAGAGAAGGCTGGGTCAGGGCAGAGCTGTGTTGGTGTTCTTAGTGACCACGCCAGGAGTTAGGCAAAGGCAAAGCAGTTTATTGCTTAATTTATTAAACACCAATGTCAATGAAGATTCTTTGTTTGGAAGCAGTGGGGCAAGACAACTGAGCAGCTTGGTTGACTTTAAATAGCCTAAACAATGGCCTAAGAACTGGTAATCCATGCCTGAGTTGGTTTCTCTCTGAACATCAGTTGCAAGCTAGCCATCAGTTAGCCTCTTCTACCTACTTTTCCACCCAGTTACTTCTGTTATTCTGCACACAGCCCACGGCAAGGCTTGCAAGACTCGGAGTTTGCCTGGTCATAGGCCTGAAGGGTACACAGACTAGCAAAAAGGATGCTCGGAGAGTGTAACAACAGTACAGAAAAATGCACAATCTGTCTCCATGGTACACTTTTTTAAAGGCAGCAGTGCTTTCTGTGTAGGAAAAGCAGTCTATGTGAAGCAGCCTTCAATGAGCAACAAAGGCCTGAAGACCCCTTTAAGCCTGGCCTTCAGAGCCCAGGCATCCTTACTAAGGCAGTGGTGAGGCAGTCATTTTGGGCAGCTGCTTTTTAAACACAAGACAGACCAAGCCAACTCATAGCCCATAATGTACCAGGACAGTCTTCTTTGCAATAGGACTGTTGCGCAGTTCCTGTTCATTTCAAGGGATATAATTATTTATACTCCACTTTTGCCTCCATTGGGGCACAAAGCAGCTTACAACATTCTCCTGCCCTTCGTTTTATGATCACAACACCCCCGCCCCCAGTGAGGTAGGCTAGGCTGAGAGTGTGTGAGATTGTGCTTCCATGGCAGAGAGGGGATTCAAACCTGGGTCTCCCAGATACTAGTCTGGCAGTCTAACCGCTACGCCACTCCGTCTGTCTCATAACAAGCTTGTGCCAGAGTGCATCCTGATGGATTTTGTGCTGTGTTAATTGGGATAGGAAGCCATTTTGGATTTTCCAGCGGATGTCTTTGACCAGCTTTCCTCCAGAACCACGTTTTAGTGGGACACAGGTCAGAATGCCAGTGCTGATCCGTCACACTTTGTCTTCTGTGTAGAGACTCCAAGAAGCCCAAGTACTGCGTTGAACTGAGCTCTCAGCCTGTGGGATTGGTTCGGGTCCAAAAGAACATCGTGACTGCCTGTTCTGACCAGACGCTGCAAGGATATACACAGAAGGTTGGAGGGGACTGTTGTGTGCGAGAGGAGAGGGATGAATTGTTGAAGGCTTAGTTGGTTTGCCTCACTCAAACCTGGTTTGCCAGGAGTAGATCCACTTGGGTTTGACTGGAACTAGGAGGCCTCATTCCAAGGGGCATTAGAGGTCACCAGAGAAGGCTGAAGTACACACGGTGGAGCAGTGTTCCCTCTAAGCTGAGTTAATGTGAGCTAGCTCACAGTTTTTTAGCCTCCGGCTCACACACTTTTGTCTTAGCTCAGGGAGGATGGCTCCAGAGCCAGCTAATTTATGCAGTAGCCAAATTGCTCACTCACAACTTTAATGCCAGTAGCTCATAAAGCAGAATAATTGCTCACGAGATTCTACAGCTTAGAGGGAACATTGCTGTGGAGGTGTTTCTTTTTCCAGAAGGGAACACGGCTGACTTCCAGTTCACACAATACAATTGCCTCGACCATTATCAGTAAAATAACTTGTATGTGATAGATTCGGGTGGGTAGCCATGTTGATCTGAAGCAATAGAACAAAGTTTGATGCAGAGGGGTTAATATACTGAACCCAGTATTGTCAAATGTCCAGATACATACACGGTCGGTTTCTTAGTACGTCTTGTTTTATATAAAACCTTCTGGAGGAATCAGTTAACAATTTCACTGTAAAGTCCTTACGTCCAAGAAAAAATAATTCTAGTAGTGCTTTAAGAAGACAATTACATAGTACTATTTAAAGAAATAATTATACAATAGAATCCTGGAGAGCCGAACATTAATTCAATACTGGGTAAGGGTAAGCATGCTTTTCTTTTCCAGTCTTTCAAACAGGCTGTTGAGCTGTATTTGTTCCTTTAAAATATTGCTGTAATGGAAGGATATCATGAAGGCTATCTCTTTAATTAATAAACGAAGGAAGGATTGATATGAAGACCTTAACCTGGAAACTCATGCTGTGTATATTTGCATGTTAACATTGTTGGTGTCAGTATAGTTAATCTAATGTTTGTGATGTCATATTAAATACGAGTTGTTAGTTTTTTAAAATTATAATGGAGGGTGCAGTTGTGTGAACTGTGCTCTGATTCCCCCCCCCCCTTTCCTGGATTCTTGGGGTCTTTCTTTCTTTTGCATCTGGTATTCCTCTTTCCACCTGTTGGTGGTACTGTCGCGCTCTGCAGTAAAGGGAAGGGAACCTGCTGGTTAAAAGCAGGGCTATTTTTGGGCAGGAACGCACAGGAACGGAGTTCTGGCTGACTTCAGAGTTGGCCACACCCACTACAGCCAAAACCTCTGCATGCATGGCTACAGAGGGAAGGCCAGGAGAGCAACACCCCCTCCAGTGACTCTGAGGTGGGTGGGCCAGGGGGCCCCTGGAAGGATCGGAGGCATTTAAATGCCTCCCCAGCCCGTCCCCAGCCTGTCCAAGGGTCGGCTTGCCTGGGCAAGCCAAGGGAAGGCAGTTTAAACAGCCTCCCCTCCAAGGGCAAGCCAAGGGAAGGCATGAGGGTGTGGCCTAATATGCTAATGCACTCTGCTGTCAGGGGCATGGCCTATTATGCTAATAAGTTCCTGCTAGGCTTTTTCTACAAAAAAAAGCCCTGGTTAAAAGGAATATTGGTCCTTCACTAGAAGGGAATTCAGTTGAGGAGCAGGTCAAAGCAGCAGTGCCTACATGTTCTTAGCAGTATATTCTCCTGACAGGGAAAGAAACTATGGACAATCTTGCTGCCAGCGACACCAATGACTATGAGCCTGATGGACCAGAAATCCCGGGGTTTCCAGGCAGTGCTGGTGGCTTTGGCCAACATGGAAGTACACCTGTACCAGGACAAGAGCCTTGTGAACGTCATCCAAACGCAGGTGGGATGTGATAGAATATGTGATGCAAACGCTTGGAGTGTAATGGGAACTCTTTGGATTGTAGTGTGGAGCTTTTGCATGTGTTTCTCAGATCTAGGGCTGCTGCATCTTGCCCCTTGCTGTGGAAAGGGTGTTGCTTAGGGAGTTAAAGTGGGAGAACTTGAGAACTGGGACTTCTGTGTCTGTGACCATCAGAAGTGGTTCACAGACCATCATTAACACATGGAATTCACTGCCGCAGGAGGTGGCGGCGGCTACAAGCATGGCCGGCTTCAAGAGGGAATTAGATAAACATATGGAGCAGAGGTCCATCAGTGGCTATTAGCCACAAGGTATAGACAGGAACTCTCGGTCTGGGGCGAGTGATGCTCTGTATTCTTGTTGCTTGGGGGGGGCAACAGTGGGAGGGCTTCTATTTCCTGGCCCCACTGCTGGACCTCCTGATGGCACCTGGTATTTTTGGCCAGTGTGTGACGGACTGGATGGGCCATTGGCCTGATCCAACATTGGCTTCTCTTGTGTTCTTATGTCCTTAAGTGTTAAGCTAACCTTGGTTAGCAAGGATCAGCATCTTCTATAGCTGCCTGGACACAGAAACTGTGTGAAGGAGTATCATCTGACCAGCTATGGTGTGGTGTGGCTGATCTGCCTGAATCCCCTCCTTTCCCGGGAGACTGGTGGTGTCCCTTGCCTGTTGTCCCTGTAGACAGCCAGTTCAAGAGCCAAGGCAGGCTCCTGATCATTCTCAGCTCTAGGAAAGGAGGCTGTTGCAGGCTGCCAGAGAATGGCACAGCAGAACCCTAACAGGGATTGGGGATAGTGGGGGGGGGGGGGAATTGCAGAGGAGGGTGGAATAGAAATCTCATAAAATAAATAAATAAAGCAAAGAGATGAGCTTGCCCATACTGAGTGAAAAATAGATGGGGGGGGGGGGCAGTAGCACAGGAGAAAGTGTAATGGTGGCAATGGAGGGGGCATGCTGATCAGAAGAAGGATGCAAGGCAGGGACGAAGAGGAGAATGTCAGCAGAGGCGCTAGGAATCGGAATAGAGGAGGAAATACGGCCTCTGCCTCCACCCACAAAACTTTCTCTTTTCTTCTGTTCCCTGCTGTCAGGAGGTGGTCACCAGTATCTGTTTTGGGCGCTATGGGCGGGAGGATAACACCCTGGTCATGACAACCAAAGGTAAGAACAGGAAAGCACGTCTTGCTAGATCAGCCCATCTAGCCCAGCATTCTGTCTCCAGCAGTAGACAGCCAGATCCCACTGGTGTAGTAACCCCACGTTGGTCCACACTCTGTCTCCAGCATCTTGTACTCACAGGTATACTTACGTCTAGTGATGAAGGCTGTTGTGTTTTCCTTTTTTAATTGAAAAAAAGATGGTGAAAACCTCTTTTTTTCCCTTGCCGATGTACATTTGAAAAGACAGGAGCAGTATCAGAAAGTCTTTCATATGTCACTCATGCATGGCTTTCTGGAAGTCGCTGCACCCTCTGAAGACCTCTGAAGGTTTTATTGTTTTAACCATTAGAATTTTGAGACTGTGCTCATCTGCTGTAAATAGAATATTGTTTTAGGATGCTGTCACTTTCTTGGTTGCTTTACTGGGTAATTGGGTGCAGTTTTATGGATTGGTTGCACTTTTAATTAGTTTTTTCATGGATTTTCCAGCTAGCTGCTCTTTCCCAACTATTTCATCCTTGTCTGTGTTCTCTGCGCTTTGGCTGCTCTTGTGGTTTATCATTACCCCCCCTTGGGAGCTAATGCTTGTTGAAGAAAGGGCAGGCTAGAAATGCTTTAGGAATTGTTTTTTAAAAACCCATCTGTGAAATGATGTAGCACTGGAGGGGGGATTTTCTACCCAGCAGGGCTACTTACCCCCTGCCTTTTGCCCCCTTCTTCTAGGTGGGGGTTTGATCATCAAGATCTTAAAGCGGACTGCTGTGTTCGATAAGGGCGATGCATCTGTAGGGGCGCCCATTGCTCAGAGTATCAAGCTCAGTGTGCCCAAGAAGACAAAACTGTATGTGGACCAGACGCTGAGAGAGCGGGAGTGCAGCGTGGGTGAGTGGGGGGGTGTGTGTGGCTCTCTCTGCCTGGCCTGCCTCAGGGCTGAGGTGCACAACAGCCTAGCTGGACCCCAGTTGCCTACCTCCGTCTCTCCGGATCCCAGATCAAAGTCAATCTGCTGCAGAATCCTGGCAGTCTCAACTGTTATTTATTTTTTAAAAGAGCACATTTTTTTTTTAGCCCATGTGGTCACAGAGGCGAGAAGCCCACTAAAGGGGGAGGCAAGACTTGTATGAAGAATGCAAACTCCGTAGGAAGCCATTTGCATGAAGTTTCTCCCAAATGCTCTGGCACTCCAGCCAGGCCGGCATGGCCGCCTGAAAACCAGATGTGATTGAAAGCACTCTGGACTTAGTGAGGGCCGCTTGACGCGGACACCTTCCTAGAAAGCTGCACTCCTAGCGGCTAACAGCTACCACCACAAAGGTGTCAGCAAGCAAAGGCAGGCCCAGGTGTCCATTCTCAAAGTCTGGATGTAAAACACCTGACTCCTGGTCCCCCACAGAGAAAGTGACAGCCAGAGTGGCCTAGTGATTAGAGTGTTGGACTGAGACCTTGAAGATGCGGGTTCGAATCCCCCCCCCCCCCCCTTCTCACTCGGTGACCTCACTAGGTGACTTCGGCCTAGTCAGACACACTCAGCTGACCTCACAGGGTGGTGGTCATGGGGATATAATGAAGGAGGGGGGAGTGTTGTCTGTCATTTTGGGTCCCCATCGGAGACAAAACTGTGACATAAATGAAGTATATTAAAAAAACTGGGTGTGCAGACAGGAACTTTGTACCTGCCTCTTTCCCGTCCCTGTCCAGCCATGCATCAGGTGTTCCAGATGGAGCTTAACTGCCTCCGCCTCTTGGCAACCCGCACCTACGCCCAGGCCCTGGAGTCCAGCCTGACTCCCATCGCAGAGACACTGCAGGAGCCGCTCAAGATGAATGCTGTGGTGAGCAGGAAGAAGGGAGACGGGCACAGAGGTTATGGTCCACGTGGGTCCTGCTCTGGATTAACCCTCTTGTGGAGACACAATGGGATGATGGCTTGTTGGGGGTTTACTGTAAGATGAAGAAGGGACGCCTTCTAAGACCGTATCTAAAAACTGAGCCGTAGTCATCTTTTCCATGGAACCCTGGGTGCTTGTGTATCTAGGGGTGTGAGCAAAGGGGGAGCATCAGGGGTTTCTGAGACTTCTCAGTACCACCCCAAACCACAATTCTGGATATACAGCGAGGCTGTAGGAGGAGGCCTGTAAGGCTTGATGGAACCTGGAATATTTGCTCTACAGGCTAGGAGCGGCTGGGAGGAAGGCACGGTTCCTTTTGGCAGAAAAGAGAGTGGCTTAGCTGTTTAATTCAGTAGGAACCGAAATGGCCTCTAGAAGTCATCAGACATGCTAGCAAAGCAAATCCAAGGAGGGAAAAATTGGGGACATGCCAGTGAAAATCAGGGCATTGCTGCAAACAGTAGGAGAGTGCACACACACACACACACACACACACACACAGAATTGTTGTTTTTTTTTGGGGGGGGGTGACTCCCCTGGCTGGTTACATCATATTTCAGCTATGGATGCAGTTTGGGCTTGTTGTAGATGTTCAGAGCGCTTTCCTCCTGATGAGGCTCATGGAAGCTTTGCTAGTAGGCTGTTCCCTGCCACTCTGCCTGAAGTCTCAGGGCCAAACTAGATAGGATGGCATCTTTATGGCTAACACAAGGACACCACCACCACCACCATTTTAAAGTTATTTTAAAACATTGTAAGGGCATGATCCTGGTGGGCACTCTAGTTTCCTCCCCCCTGCTCCCCCCTGGCACCTTATCCAGTGCCAAAATGGCCATCCCACACCTCACAATGAAGATCAGGCAGCATTTTCAGTGGCATTTTTAAGGGCGGCTGAGTCCTCATGGTGGCCACAAGGACGCTGTCATGTCAAGTTTGGCCTTCAGTGGCTCAGTGTCTGCACTTCCACCTAACACCCACTCCTCCTGTACAGGTCCAGGGCATTGGCCCCACCTTCAAGCTGACCCTTCACCTCCAGACCACATCAGCCACCCGCCCAGCCATCAACCTTTTCATCAGCTTCCGGTATGATGAAGGCCTTTACTACATGGCCCGTCCCTTCTTTAAGGTAACTCTGACCCAACTCTCTCCTCTTCCCCCCGCGTCCCTGCGGGTTTTCCTTATGCAATGCTGTCGTTCAAAATTCTGCTGTCAAAACACATCTGTGGCCTCAACGACAAACTTTGAATGCAGCAACTGATGTGACCCCTGTACCACTGCATTTTCAAAGTCTGTGCCCATGAGGGATTGTCCCCTCCCAGTGCTGTGAAGGGGTTTCTCTTTGGGCGTGTTCTCCATATTGCCACCCTCTGCCCTGCACTCTGCAGAGGTCTTTTTACTCCACCGCTCCACCTCTGCCTGCTGCATTGGAAGCTCTTTTATCTTTTTCCTCCCTTCAGGCTCCTATGTTGGTCCCGGGGCTGAATTACCCCCTGGAAACTTTTGTGGAGTGCCTAAGTGGCAAAGGGATCTCCGACATTATTAAGGTTGGTGCCCATGCCTTGATTACTTTTTCTGTCTCTTCCCCCCCCCCCAAGCCTTGATCCTCGGGGGCACACTCACCTTCTCCTTTTAGAAACAAAATTCTTATCCCAGAACAAGAGCCTTGCTCCCAGACTGAAGGCTACGTCCACCATCTTCCATCTCCAAGCTGGCTGCGGCACTGGCATCCTGCCCTCCGTGGCCATACCTTAAACGTCCTGGCTGGCTTTTTTAAAAAAGGCAAGGGCATTGCCACCTCACCTAAGCTGTCTCCTTTTGCCTTGCAGGTGTTCGTGCTGCGGGAGGGAGAGAGTGCCCCGTTGCTCATGGCACACATCAATATGCCCATCAGTGAAGGCCTGGCAGCTGCGTGAACAGTTAGGGTGATGGCGAAAGGGAGAGCAGTTTTAGCCTGTACTGTAGGCTCCTTTCTGGAGTGGATGTAGGACACCCTTTACCTCCATTTGTCCTCAGTTGGGCATTTAATGAGGTATCTCTCATCCCTGGAGGAAACTATCCTTCGCTGTGGTGAATGCAATCCCTCGCTCCAAGGAAAATGCCACGAGAGAGGTCCGTCTCTGAACTAGGCAGCTTCCTTCCCAGGTCTGGAAGGCCCTTTGACAGTGAGCCAGTGCTCTGAGCAGCCCAGTGAATTATATTGTTCTTTGAATTGGCTCTCTGTATCCGCAGGCAATCCATGGAGGTGTTTGAGGCTGAGCTGCTGGCCCACAGGAAAGGTGTGTAAACAGGAACGTACGAAGCCATCACACTGAGTCACTTTGTTGGCTCATCCAACCCTGTCTTGTCTCCTCTGACTGGCTGGCAGCCACTCAGATAGAAGGTTTTCCTGGTACAGACTATTTTAACTGAACAGGCCAGAGCTGAAACCTGAGCCTTGTGCACGCAAAGAATGCACTCTGCCAACTTCAGACTGTTCTTTGATCACCCCTGAAAAAAATGCTCCTATCCCAGAAGCCCTTCCTTCTCATTCCAGATGTAGAAGCAGGCGATCTGTGAATCCTGACGAAGTGTAGGAGAGAAATGGCGACTGCCGGCCTTGCTATTGCTGCATTTTATCAGATGTTCTGCCCTGGCACCCAGTGAGTGCTAAAGCTTCGGTTAAGCCCCACTGTCGGCTTGTCTTCCCATCATACAGGACCCAGCTTAGCAGAGTCAGTTACAGATTTTTGGTGGGCCTTGGGCAGAGAGTGCCTGAGCCCCACTCCTCTGCTTGGCAGTACGCCCTCCCTGCCCGCGTTCTGCTCCCCTGCTGCCTATCCATCCATCCTTCCCCTTCATTTTCCAGCACTCCTGCTGTGCTGGACAGTGCATGTGGTGGTGGTGGGGCTCACAACGAGCAGATGGGCAGCTGAGAGGGCTGGGAGTGGTGGCCGTGGGCCCCATGGCTCCTGGCGTCTGCCCCACCTCAGGGTCTGCTTTCTCTGGCCCTGCAGCTTAGATCTTCCCTCAACAGGCCAGGTCTCCTCATTGTCTCTCCTCCCTCTCCGTACAGATATAGCACGCTGCACTGCGGCCTTGGTATCTTAGCCACTCTGAACCACTCGGGTTCCGTTCCATCTCTGTTGAGGGAGAGGGAGCAGCTATACTAGGGGGGGGCTTCCTGTTGATGGGGTGGACAGTCTTTATCATTTTACTTTTTCCGCAGCTGTGTTTCTGCAGCTTTTTGACACCTTTTGATGAACACAGAGGTGTGAATAAGCCCATCCTGTCCCCCACTCACAGGTTTAACCACTCTTCATGAGCGGGTGCTAACTTTCTGTTTGGCAAGCATCTGGCTGGCAATTGGGGGTGGGGTGGACAACGGCTGCTTTCTGTGTCTGGCAATGCTGGTCCTTCTGGAGTTTAAACGGTGCTGCACTGAGCAGACACTGGGATAATTCTTGGATTGTTAAGAACG